TAAGGCCCTCACTCTTGCCCAGTGTCCCGGTTGGGCTGTGTTATCTCACTAGGTAAGGCCCTCACTCTTGCCCAGTGTCCCGGTTGGGCTGTGTTGTCTCACTAGGTAAGGCCCTCACTCTTGCCCAGTGTCCTGGGTTGGGCTGTGTTGTCCCTTTTTACCCAAAGGCAGCTCTGCGTTTCCCACAGTGACACCGTGGGTGCTGCTTCTTTTCCCTGTTTCTTGGCATATATGCTGTGGGAGGCAGGGCTAGGCTGTGTGTTCTATACCCCCTTTTTCCTAGCGTCCCCATCCCTGCTGCTCTGAAGCTTACAATAAAGGGCTCAGGAACCCAAAATGTTGAATTTTGCATAGAGACCCCACCAGCCTTGTCTGTCCCTGATCAGGTTACTCTGTGCAAACACATGAGACCTGTGTTCTGTTGTCCCCTTTCTCTCCCTGCTATTTCTTGGTGCCTTCCTGTGCTTGGAATTTCAGGCACTGCCCTGGTCACTATTTTTGGGGACTACTGGGTTAATTGTGCAGGACACAGGACTCTTATGTGAAGTTCTTAGGATTGTAGAATGTGGGATGCCATGGGCTCGATCTCTCTGGGCATGTGCTGTTTACTCTTTTTCTCTTTCCCCTAGAGAGGGCCCTAGGCACCTGAGAGGGTGGCTAGTACTTCAACAATGGCATTGGAGGCTCAGGGACATGGTCCTGGTGCCTGGGAGTTGGGAAGAGGGTTGATGTCACAGCTGGGGTCAAATCACCCTGGGAACCTGTCCTGTGCCCACCATTGTGTGCTGTCAGGGCCACTGGCCACAAATTTCCACCTTTTCTTCCCCATTATCATTTCTAGTATGATTGCTGGCCCCTGCACCTCCAATGCCCCACAGTCTGTACTTCTGGGGCCACCACCCCTCACCCATTCTTTTCCACTGCTCCCTTTGAATGCCTGCCAACACGTGACCTGTATTTAAGGTAGCGTGAAGTCTGCATGTATCCGTGTACACCAGCTCCTCTGTCACAGTCTGATCTCTCTGGGTTTGGAGAGAACCTTCTACACACTGCCTTCCAGTCTCCAGCAACCATGGCCTGTTGATGGCTGTGTGCAGAGGAGTTAGTTGGAGATCCTGCCTTCTCTCTCTGTACCGTATCCCTCCTTTGTATGCTTACCATCATCAAGGCTCTCCCATTATGGGCCCTCGCCAGGCCCAGTCCTACATAGTGGACCCTCCTCTCACTGGCCTTAATGTCCATGATGTCCCCAGTCCCATGGCCTTATTTGTGTGTGTGCCTGACACACATTGTGATGGAGCCGCCTTCTCCACCAGAGTCAGCATGCACTTCACCCGCATTTCTGTTCTGACAGGTTGTTGGCATGGAGCTGAGGATGAGGAGGCACCTTCACAGCAAGGTTTTTCTCTAGGAATGCCAGAGGTTACAACTTCAAAGTCCTGTCTGTCCACCCAGAAGGTCCACCCTAGTGAGACATGTGACCCACCCTTGAAAGACATTCTGTGCCTGGTTGAGCACAGTGGAATTCATCCTGAGCAAGACATATATATTTGTGAGGCAGAGCTTTTTCAGCACCCAAAGCAGCAAATTGGAGAGAATCTTTCCAGAGGGGATGATTGGATACCTTCATTTGGGAAGAACCACAGAGTTCACATGGCAGAAGAGATCTTCACATGCATGGAGGGCTGGAAGGACTTACCAGCCACCTCATGCCTTCTCCAGCACCAGGGCCCTCAAAGTGAGTGGAAGCCATACAGGGGCACAGAGGACAGAGAAGCCTTTCAGACTGGACAAAATGATTACAAATGTGGTGAATGTGGGAAAACCTTCACCTGCAGCTATTCCCTTGTTGAGCACCAGAAAATCCACACCGGAGAAAGGTCTTATGAATGCACCAAATGTGGGAAATTCTTTAAGTACAGTGCCAATTTCATGAAACATCAGACAGTTCACACTAGCGAAAGGACTTATGAGTGCAGAGAATGTGGAAAATCCTTTATGTACAACTACCGACTCATGAGACATAAGCGAGTTCACACCGGAGAAAGGCCGTATGAGTGCAGCACATGCGGGAAATTCTTCCGGTACAGCTCCACATTTGTTAGACATCAGAGAGTTCACACTGGAGAAAGGCCGTATGAGTGCAGGGAATGTGGCAAATTCTTTATGGACAGCTCCACGCTCATCAAACATCAGAGAGTTCACACCGGAGAAAGACCTTATAAGTGCAATGACTGTGGGAAGTTTTTTAGGTATATCTCTACACTCATTAGACATCAGCGAATTCACACTGGAGAAAGGCCTTATGAGTGCAGTGTATGTGGGGAATTGTTTAGGTACAACTCCAGCCTCGTTAAACATTGGAGAAACCACACTGGAGAAAGGCCTTACAAATGCAGTGAATGTGGGAAATCATTTAGGTACCACTGCAGACTCATTAGACACCAAAGAGTCCACACGGGAGAAAGGCCTTATGAGTGCAGCGAATGCGGGAAATTCTTTCGTTACAACTCCAACCTCATTAAACATTGGAGAAATCACACTGGAGAAAGGCCTTATGAGTGCAGAGAGTGTGGGAAAGCCTTTAGCCACAAGCATATCCTTGTCGAGCACCAGAAAATCCACAGTGGAGAAAGACCTTATGAGTGCAGCGAATGCCAGAAGGCCTTTATTAGAAAGTCTCACCTGGTTCATCACCAGAAAATCCACAGTGAAGAGAGGCTTGTGTGCTCCATGAATGTGGGGAATTCTTTAGCTAAAACTCCAACCTCATTAAACGTCAGAGATTTCACAATGGAGAAAGTTTACCATTGACTATTGTAATTGGGTAGTAATGTTATATAAATTCCACATTTTTATGCAACTAATCTCCAGAACATTTTTCCTCTTGCAAAAAAAGTAAAATGCTGGACCCATTAACAACAACTCATTCCCCTTCCCTACTTCCCCAGAAATGTCTCAACTATATTTCTATACTCTATATCTATGAATTTGATATCTATTGGTACCTCATGTAAGTGGATTCATACAGTATTTATCTTTTGAGACTGGTGTATTTCACTTAGGATAAGGTCTTCACAGTTCACCCACGTTGTATAATGTGTCAGAATATCCTTCCTTTTTTAGGTGAAAAAATATTCTGTGCTATTTATATACTACATTTATTTATCCATTCATCTGTTAATGGATGCTTGGGTTACTTCCACCTTTTGCCTATTGAAATAATGCTGCTATGAAGATGAGTATACAATTGTCTATTCAAGATTCTACTTTCAATTCTTTTTTTTTTTTTTTTTTTTTTTTTGAGACGGAGTCTTGCTCTGTGCCCCAGGCTGGAATGTAGTGGCGCGATCTCGGCTCACTGCAAGCTCCAACCCCCCAGGTTCACGCCATTCTCCTGCCTCAGCCTCCCGAGTAGCTGGGACTACAGGCGCCCGCCACCTCGCCCGTCTAATTTTCTTGTATTTTTAGTAGAGACGGGGTTTCACCGTGTTAGCCAGGATGGTCTCGATCTCCGGGCCTCGTGATCCGCCCACCTCGGCCTCCCAAAGTGCTGGGATTACAGGCTTGAGCCACCATGCCCGGCCTCTACTTTCAATTCTTGTTGGGTATATACTCAATGGTAGTGCTGGATCATATAGGATTTCTTTTTTTTTTTTTTTTAGACAGAGTCTTGCTCTGTCACCCAGGCTGGAGTGCAGTGGTGTGATCTCGGCTCACTGCAAGGTCCACCTCCCAGGTTCATGCCATTCTCCTGCCTCAGCCTTCTGAGTAGCTGGGACTACAGGTGTCTGCCACCACGCCTGGCTAATTTTTTTTGTATTTTTAGTAGAGATGGGGTTTCACCATGTTAGCCAGGATGGTCACAATCTCCTGACCTTGTGATCCACCTGCCTTGGCCTCCCAAAGTACTGGGATTACAGGCGTGAACCACCGTGCCTGGCCAGATTTTTATTTTTAATATTTTTGAGAAAACTTTTTCCGTAGTACCTGTGCCATTGTACATTCCCACCAGCAGTGCACAAGGATTACAATCTATATATATCCTCACCAACATTGTTCATTTTCTATTTCTGTTTTTGGGGTTTTTTTGTTGTGCCTTTTGTTTTGCATAGCAGCTATCCTGTTGGATGTGAGGTGGAATCTCATAGTGTCTTTCATTTTTATTTTGTGAATGATTAATGATGTTGAGGATCTTTTCATGTGCTTGTTAGGCATTTGTGCATCTGGAAAAATATTCAAGTCTTTTTTTCCATTTTTAATGGGACTCTTTGCTTTTTGTTGAGTTGTAGAAATTCTTTATACATTCTGGGTATTAACTCCTTACCAAATATATGCTTTTGACATATTACCTCCCAGTCCATAGGTTGCTTTTTTTTGCTCTGTTGATTGTGTCCTTTGATGAAATTTTAAATTTTGATGTACTGTTGACTCTCTCTGTCTCTGGGTTCTGTATTCATGGATTGAAGCAACCATGGATCAAAAGTATTTGGAGCATCCATGGATTGCACTGATCATTAATCAGAAATATTTGGAAAACAAAAAGGGTACTTGGATCTGTACTAAACATGAACAGACATTTTTTCTTGTCATTATTCCCTAAACCATATATTATAATAAATATTTACATAGCATTTACATTGTATTAGATATTATAAATAACCTAGTGATTATATAGGAAGATGTGTGTAGGTTATATGCAAACTTTATGCCTTTTTATATGAGAAACTTCTTGAGCATCAGATGATTTTGGTATCCATAAGGGGTCCTGGAATCAGTCCCCCACGGACACCAAGGGATGACCGTAGTCCAGTTTATCTATTTTTACCTGTTACCTGGGCTTTTGATGTTATTTATATATATATATATATATATATATATATTTTTATAAATTAGTATCAAATCCAATGCCAAGCATTTTCCCTATGTTTTAATCTAAGATTTTATATTTGTGGGTCTTACATTTAGGTCTTTTTTTTTTTTCTTTTGGAGACAGAGTCTTGCTGTGTCACCAGGCTGGAGTGCAGTAGTGGAATCTCAGCTCACTGCAACCTCCACCTCCTGGGTTCAAGCCATCACCCCACCTCAGCCTCCCTAGTAGCTTGGATTACAAGTGTATGCCACCACACCTGGCTAATTTTTGTATTTTTAGTAGAGATGGGGTTTCGCCATGTTGGCCAAGCTGTTCTTAAACTTCTGGCCTTAAGTGATCCACCCACCTTGGCCTCCCAAATTGCTGGGATTATAGGCAGGAGCTGTAATGCACTGTGCCTGGCTACATTTAGATCTTTGATCCACTTGGGGTTCATTTTTGCATATGGTTTTAAGGCAAAAGTCCATGTGGCTATCCAGTTTTCCAAGCACCATTTGTTGAAAAGAGCATCTTTCCTCTGTTGAGTAGTCTTGGCACACTTGTCAAAATCATTTGTCTGTATGTGCCATGGTTTATATGTGGATTCTCTATTGTATTGGTCATATGTCTGTCTTTATGTCAGTACCACACATTTTAGGTGTGTGTGTGAGACTCAGTTTTGAGGACAAGGCTAGTGGGCTTTCACACTCCAGACTGCTGTGTTCCAGCCCAAATTATTCAAGTTAGCCAATCCATGGGGAACATGGAAAACATAACTAATGCAATCCCCTTGCCTTCCCTAAGTTGTCCCCTGCAGCCTCAGGTTGCTGTTACTCTGTCTCAGATGCATCCCTCTGTGGGACCTTACCCAGGTTCCCTCATTCTTAGCTATAGGTAATAAATAGTTCTGATTTTGTGTATCCAAGTGACATTGGGTTGTTTCTTGCTGTGAGAAAAACTCAGAAAGGTATTATGAGTGTAGTGAATGTTGGAAAGTCTTTAGCCATTAGCCTAATCTCATTTCGTGCCAGCACGTTCACCCTAGAGAAAAACAGAAGTGAAGGCAATGTGATCTTTCCTTGTTAACATAGTAACTCGGTAGAGCAATGCTTTGGAGATTAGTTTTTTAGGGAGAGAGCCAGCAGTTAAGCCTCCTGCATCTGAACATCCACACTAGGGATATTGTCTATACTGCCAGATATATGGGAAGATTTTGTGAACTGTGTTGCTCTTTTCAACTTGACTGGGGCCTTTGCCAGAGTTATGCCCCTGCCAGGGCCTATTAAAAAAGTCATCTCTTTTCTACCAAGTGGCAAAGAGCCATGGTGTGTAGCACTTTAGTCACATTAAAACGCAGTTATGGCAGCATGCTGTGTTCTCTATCTGAAGAATTCTCTAGTCACTTGAACACTTTGGAGGCCTCACCCCCTCTCCTATGATTGATTAGGGCATAGACACCAGCCTTGGACAGAAGACATGGACTGGCTTTGGCAGGCAGATTGCAGAAACTTCCTTTCTCCAGGGGAAAGTATTGGTTATCTCATTGAGAGTGGTAGGACACAGATAAATTCCTAGGCAGACTAAGGACGGGTCCCTGGTGAAACCCAAACTTCAAGCCAAAGACAGTTTAAAGCCTGAAAATTGAGCTGCCAGTTCCAAGTCCATGACTGGAGTGAGAACTTCCTCAATGCCTTTTAGCCAATCGAATGATGCTTTTTCCAGGCTCACCCATGGCCCAATCAGTATGCAGTCCCCATTTCTGAGCCCATAAAAACCCTGGACCCAGCTACACACTGGGCTGCCCACTTTCAGGTCCCCTCTTGTTGTTGAGAGCTTTTCTGTCACTCAGTAAAGTTCCCTGCCTGGCTCTCTCTCTGGTGTCCACATAACGTCATTCTTCTTGGTTGTGGGACAAGAACTCGGAAACTGCCAAATGGCGGGTGTGAAAGGAGCTGTAACACTGTAGCCCTCCTGCCTTCCACCAGCCCCAGGCAGCCACCCCATGTGACAGGAAGCAGTGGCAGCAGGGCCAGGCCAGCCCACACGGTGGCAGGACGAAACCAGCTGTGCCACACCCCCATTCACTGAAGTGTGTGGACGGTAGGAACAGACAAGCTGTAAGACAAATCAGCTGTAATGCTTCCTTGGGGCTCAGACTTTGGGATTCCCTGAGCGAAAGCTGAAACACCCCTTGGGGCTCCGTGGTTGCTGGCGTCTCTGAGTTTTTGGGCGCTACTGTGTCCCCCTTGTCCAGACACCAGCTCCCAAGGCAGAAGCCGGTCGCAGCACACCTGGACCAGCTGTAGGCCAAGCACAGAGCCATAGTGGGCACAGGATCCGGCTGGTAGCATGAGCCAAGCACAGCCTGCCGGACTGAGTGGGTGGAGTGAGCCCAGCAGGCCAAGCGATGTCTCGGCACAGATACTTCAGCCATGGAGGTTTCTGGCTGGTGAAGTGGCACTGAAAGTATCCTGTGTCATCATGACACTTGGGATGGAATTTTCCAACCTGCCAGTCACCCACACTGTGAACTCCTTCTCACCCCTAATGCACTCACATACCCTGGTTGGTTTTGTGATAATAAAGGTCACATTGTTTAAGCTACCTTCACTCTTGGAAATCTAGTCTGAATGCAGTGGGTTTTGAACAGAATTGGTCTCTGCTAGAATAAAAGCATGAATGTTTTTTCTGTGGGACCTTTGTGAGCTCCAGAGGCAGTAGTAGGAAGCAAAATCTCAGCTCTCATGCAGATTTGGACCAATTTGCACTGCCATGAGAAGCCTCCTGGGAAAGTCTGAAGGACTTCTGCACAAAATCTCAAGCCCTGAGTACAAAGGTTATTTGTATTCAGAAGACTACAATTTGAGGAGAAAACAGTTGCCTTGATGTTTAAGGCATTGGGCAACAGTATGCATTGGGTATCCCTACACAGATTTCCCATATTTCCCCTGCACTGAGGAGGGATAGCTGTCTCTTGTGACCTGCTGGGAGCTATGTGTCCTGAAGTAAAACACTATCTAGGTGTATGTTCCTGGCTGTTGACCTTTAGGGCCAGATGGAAGCCATATTCTTTCTTTTTTTTTTTTAGACGGAGTCTCGCTCTATTGCCCAGGCTGGAGTGCAGTGGAA